AGGGGGAAAGGGTGAAATCGGATTTGACCAGATCAATACAGAAACCCACAAAAATGTGTAGGCTTTTTTTTTTTTTCCTCTTCGAGTCACTGCACCTGAAGCCTGCCCGTCCACAGAGATGCGGCTCCCCTGCTGGTGTAACAAAACTTTGCTCCACCACTCGCTGAAGCATTAATCAAAGTGCTGCAGTGGACAGCGACACACTCGATGCCTTTGTAACGCCATGCCACACACACACACACACACACACACCGGCGCTTCTATCAGCACACCTGCCCAAAGCTGTGGCCGTTCTGCTTAAAACCGACTAACAATGCTCAGCCGATGGCACGCGTTTGCTTCTATCGTCTTTTTTCAAGATGTCACCCACAGGAGCTTTGAGCCTGCCTGCTCATTTGGAAAACAACATGAATTCCACACATCTTTTCAGACATAACTACATACTATCCACTGCCTGACTGTAAAAACTTGGATCAGCAAAACCGCAGAGCGACGGTATTTCTCTGGATTTCTGTCTTGTGTGTGTGTGTGAAAAGTCAGTTTACTCTAAAAGAGGGAATGATTCCTGACCGGAGAGCAAAAGAGGCCTCGTTAATACCCCAAGGGTGACAACTGAAAATGTGCGGAAAGGGACACATTCTTTTTATTTGGGAGGTCATTTAGAAAAAGGGAGCTGAGTAACCTTCTCTCTGCCCCTGACTGGAAGGCTGTCGTTTCCTCTTTCATGATTTCTCTGCTCCGCACCCCGACTGTGAAACTCCATAAAGCATGATGGATGGTGATGGAGACACATGGAGGGTGATTATGGATCATGGCAGAGTATGGAGAAAGGACACAGACGGACTGACAGAAACTGAGAATGGGCTCAGAATAGTTAATAATTGTGTTGGATGTGTTTGTGTTTTGTAAGTGGAGCAGCTGCACCACAGTGTGGTCAAATGTTTAACTGCAACCAGCAACATGATAGTGTCACACCAAAGTGTCCAAGGCAACTAAGGCAGAGTCACATTAAATTCCAATATTGTTAGAAGATTAAAACAATAACTGTGCAACCAGAATTTGAGCAAGATAGAAGAAAATCTAAACCACAATGTGATGCTCGACTCCGATAAAGATTAGCTAAAACTGAAGAAATGGAAGATGTGCAGATGATTGCCAGATTGCAGTGTTTAAGAGTTTGGAGGCCTTGAGACTGAAAAGTCTGTTTCACCTTTCCTCTAAAAGCCAGACTGAGAAGATTTAAACGAACCTGCCTGAGGATTATTTCTGCTCTCTGACTTACAGGAGACAGGGAATTCAGCAATTTAGCTAATATATGTAACTCTGGTTTCCTCAGGGAAAGGAACAGGTACATTTCTCATATCAGAGGCTGAACTATTTAATTACTTCTGACAAGTAAATGGGCGTGGAATACATAAGGGGAAGGTTCTGCTCTTGTCATGGACATATATTTTAAATAGTGGCCTTTTTCTTTCTCTCATTTCCATATCCTTTAATGTTCCTAAAGATAGTATACCTCCTAAAACCTTGAAAACACACACCACCTACTCCGTTCATGAACTTTGTTAACGATGATGAGACACAACACATTCAACAGTAAACATGGTAAGTGTTTTAAAACTGTATGTTGACAGACATGATGAGTGATGAGGCAGGCCTTTAGTGCCTAAAGATCCCTCACAACACTGTGTAAGCCCCGCAGTGAAGTGCATAAATCAGAGAGAAATCATCAGAGGATAGTGTGGAATTCAGGATCTTTCAATTGTAAATCAAGTTTATTTGCCACACAAAGTAAATTAAAGAAACTTTATCAGTTGAATGTGGTGGATCCAAACAAAAGTTCCCGTTTGACCGACAATAAAAGTAACCATAAGTTACAAAATAAGATGTCATGATATCAAGTGTTAAAAGGCTTCTGAAGTTGTTTCTGATGAGGATATTTCCATAATTCTTTTCTAAGAGCGTCTTTAGATTCACAGTCGTATTTGATGTGGCCCAAAAAGGGTCGCCTCATCTACAAGTGCGGCTTATCTGATAGACAGGAAACAAGACATGCAATCAGTGGTGTATCGGGAGTTGAATCACTCTTCAGAGAGGTGGAGTGAAGCTGGATAGCGGAAATCTGATTGCCTGCAACTGCAGATTTATGAGGTGACGCTCGGCTGGGAATCTTGCCCAACGAGCACTTCCTGGATGATAGTGTTCAAATCTACTGTTAGCCCCACCTACAATATGCCAACGGCAGAGGAACGGAGGTTATATGAGGGCTGTCAGACAAATTATGGGCCCATATTGACCCAGCACACACTTCAGCTTGTAGATCAACCGCATGGGGTCAAGGAGCACCACTGCGTTGCACGTGATAAAAGAAAAATACTTAGAGGTTCAAGGATCAAGCCAAGACGGAGGTCAGTGTCACTGATCTGAACTCAGAGGAAGATGAGTAACAGCGTCATCAGCACATTAATAAATTAAAGTAGAATCTTATGTAACCCAAGGACATGGTGTTGGTTGAATGTTGCAATGGCTGTTGAAGGGTTTGTGAAGAAAAAATGTTTTAGAAAAATTATTTACCATGCACTGAAGACATACAGAAAAAAAATACTGTCAGGTTAGTTTTTTCTGCCTTGAGGCTTTGTGAGACAAATCATTTTCAGCTACTGAATCTGTTTATCCTCAGGCAACCCACGAGAAGCCCGTGGGTTACTCTTCTCACTCTGACTGCTTCATACTTCATCTCTGGGTACGTGAAAATGTAATTGAGACTGTGAATTAATATCCTGCCCTTGTTGTGAAGAAAAACTCAAGAAATGATTTCCTGCATTATTCTTAAGGGAATTAACTCAATTTGCATAATTATCAAATACGGTGTCCCGTAATAAACACAACTCGGTACAAATCTGTTTGATGGGCGTTTTGTGTTTCATTGTGGAGCACAAAATACAATTATACAGAATATTAATAATACAAATACAATCATTTGTAATATGTTGTGAGCATCTAATTATACACCAATAGCAATTCATGCTATGATTTCTATCATTGGCCCGAAGATAATAATCTAATCCTTCTCCTGAATAGTCTGAACTGTGCCTTTTCAAATCTTTTTCCATTTTCAGAGCTGATAATCACCAAAACCTGTGTAGGAAAATGCAGCATGCAGTATCATCCTTAATTTGTAAGACAGACAGCAGGCTTACATTGGCAAAATGCCGTGAACATTTACTCATACAGCCTGAAGCATTGAGGACATACTTGAGTAACAAACTCATTTCTGCACAGCAGCGGTGCAGTTAAATGTCAGGTCACACCTGGTCGACTCAGCTGGGCACGGAGCTGTGCTGGATGAGAAGGATTTTTCACAAGTTGGGAACATTCAAGACAGTTCCCAATCTGCTCAGAAGTGGATATCCCAGTAATTTCACTTGTAGGTTTGCCAGGAAAAGCAGCTTTTCTCTTTCACAACAACATGGCTCTGGATTTATCTGAACAAAACACCAGACCTCTGGAACAACCTCCCTTTTTACAGATGAGACCAAAGTCGACATGTTGGGTCAAAGCATAAAAGATCAAGCTGCTGTCAGGACGAGGGTAGAGGAAGGACAGTTTGGGTTTCTGTTTTGCCCCCATACAACCTTGTTACCCACAAACTTCTGTGTTTTCTGGAGTCAAACATAAGGCCATCTTTCTAACGCTTGGAACTGAGAAGCACCAACAATGGTGCTCTACACAGTTCAAGGAGACTCTAAAGCTGAAAAAGTTCAAAGTGTGTAAATGTAAATTGACACATTGAAGTGATGCTTAGTCTAGAAAATAGATAATAATGAGTTGAACCGCATACATTTCTAAATTGATGAATGGACATGAGATACAGACAAATTCAGAAAATAGTCTTATGATCTTATCGGATATTGCTCCAGCCTTCTCCCACATCAGAATTAGTAACATCAAGTTCACAAGGTAGGGTGTGAAAGAAGAAAATATGTTTGTTTGTTTTTTAGATATCCTGAGCATGCTGAGGAGGAGCACATATAGACCTGCCTGTTTGTGTTCCACTAAAATGAAAACTGCTGTTAGAGGATGGCATCAACAAGCACACAACATTCTTAAAGAAAGAACACAAACACTTCAAGATAACAACCAAAACCTCAACCTCAACAACGCTGTGAAGAACACATGCAAACATATTGTTATTCCACATGTAACAGCTGTGTTTTAGAGACTAAGAGCATCTTCTACTGATGTTTCAAATCATTTTTGCTCAAGCTCAGCTGTAATCGGTTACACATTTTAGTTCCTTTAGTTGGGAGCTTGTTGGATATGAATCTAAAAGTTCAAAAGCTGTTACTTATAGAGAGATAATAATTGTATTCCAATTAAAAGGATTAATAACATACAAATAACCTCAAGTTATGTTCAGCAACATCCATTTGAATGCTCATAGAATTAAAATAAAATCCCACTGAAACTTAAACCAACTCAAGGCAGAAAACTTTATGAGCTGCATAATAATATTTGGGGTCTTCAATGGGGTCTGCATGTTTATGGACTGTGGAAGAAAGCCTGAGTACCAGGAGACAATCCATGCATACGCAAACTCCTCACTGAAAGAACCCTCTTGCTGTGGGGTGACGCTGCTAACCACCCCACTACACCCCCAACTCAGGACAGGTACCATTAGAAGAATCTAAGGTAGATCCGCGTGTGATCTGGAGTTTTGTCATGGCCAACGACCGGCCGTGATCGTATAGTGGTTAGTACTCTGCGTTGTGGCCGCAGCAACCCCGGTTCGAATCCGGGTCACGGCAGCTTTTTGTGATAGAAAGATCAATTTTACAACTCACAACATGAAAGTCTAGGACTTAAACAACATTCACGAAGCTCTGTGGGTCGGTATTATATATGTAAATGTTACTTTGAACACGATGAGTAACTCATAAGACAACTTTTTTGCTGAAATCCTCGTGTTTTCCATGTGCCCCTCTACAACCGTTTAAACCTCGATTCTCGCGATATTCTCGCGACCAATTCTCGTCCAACCAACCAGGAAACGAATGGCGGAAATATAGATACACCTCACGCTTAGTGTACAGGGTTTATTTTTATATTTGTGCATTTACAAGAGAGGTCTTCAAAGCTGGTCGCAGATGTTTTCTGGCCAACTCCTTTGGACGGCGTTAAAGAAATGACGCCGTCGTTGTTGGGAGCTCGGCAGGAGCCGTAAAGTGAATGGACGGGTGGTCAGCCAATGCTCCAGCTGATAGTGTCCTGTCACCAACAGCCAGATCTATCGAAGGTAATGGAAAAACGTCTGCTCTTTGGTGTAATTTCTTATTTTAAAAACCTGTGAGGCACGTTGGGCTTTGCACATGTCTTACGGAAATACTGTATGTTCGATAAGCAGATACGATGATACATCGATTGTAATTGTAGTTGTTAGATTAAAGCATATGGGTTATCTTAAAGGAAATAGCCCTTCAGAGTGCCGCTTATTCGTAATCGAAGTCAGTCAAATGGCGGTTAATCATAACCAGAAGTGACTGATAAACGCAAGACTGATGGTTGAACACAATCAGAAACGACTGGAAGCTTTTAACCATACCCGGCAGGCAACTGAATCCTCAGGTTAAGTTATGTAGCATTTGTTTGGAAGTGGACAGTGTTCACGAGAGAACAGTTAAAGTTAAAATCCTGAGGCCTCTTTTAATATATATTAACACCAGGACTGTGGTTTCACTGTAAGAAAAAACATTAAATACCCTGCATCTTGTTCTTCAACAAAACTGGAAGAGCAAGTTAGTTACAAATGAGATTGTTTGCTCCTTAAAAATGAACCACAGATCAATGGCCTGTTTTACATGTTTGTCCATCTTGTTCTTTAGAGCGAGGAACCTTCGTTAGCAAAAAGAAAAAGTGATGCATTAAATAATTTGCTTTCCTGATGTGCGACGGCTCATTTACAGACATATGGCCCCGATGCTCAGCTGAGAGAGTTACAATACAAACACCATGTTTGTGAAAACATCCTTCACCACCCTGGTCGTGGGGGTGTTTGTGGTGTATGTGCTCCACACCTGCTGGGTGATGTATGGGATAGTGTACACCAAACCCTGTGACAACCCTAAAGGAGAGAACTGCATCATGCCTTTCCTGGCCGGAAAGCCAAAACTAGAGGTGAGTGACTTTACTATCTAAACCAAATGTTCTGTTCAGCCAGTTGTGCGTTTTGGTTTGTCGCCAGATCAAGTAACCAATTCAGTAAGCTTTGTCAAACTGTCTGTTTCAGTTGAGTATATACACAGCACTACGGTCCAATGCAGATGGAGGACATACTCTGATCCATAAAGAAGAGGACTTTGATGTCAACACAAAGTTTGAGAGGTTTGTGAAATTCACATTTTTTAAGATGGTTTGAAACTCCACCTTTCAGTTTTATTGGGCAGGAAAATATTTAGCTATGAATGCAAAATGATCAGAGACAATGTGCCTTCATTTATCGTCTTTTATTCAAGAATTTTAAATAGTAGAAAAGTGTAGCAAAAGAAAAATGATACTGAGCTGCTGATCACCGGGAGAGAAACATTGGGTTGCTGACTACCTACTTTTATTTGTTCTGGGTTTTTCTCTGCAGGCTGGTAAATGTGTCTCTTCCCAAGAAAACCCGGAATAACGGAACTTTATATGCACTAATATTTGTCCATCAAGCTGGGCACAATCCATGGCAGGATCCACGACAGGTCCACTTGGTGGCTCAACTCACCACATACATGGTCCCCAGACCTCCAGAGATCTCTCTGATATCTGGGGAGGATCTAACACAGGTACTGATTTTCAGCCCGAAAATGAAAGGTGACCATGCTTTGGTGATCTTAGAGCTGTAATATGGTTGCATTGATCAAGATATTAAATTAGGGCAGTGTGACATATCAGATTTTTTTTATACATACCATGATTAGATTAACATGTATACATCTTTAAGACAAGCTGTGGCTAAATTCTCTGGAAAAGTTTCCTGTGAAGCAAGCACAAAGTGCATGCTTTTACTTCCTCAAATGCGCATGTGAATAACCATAATATGAGTTCTTTTGCATCTACATAACACACAGTAAGCAAATACCAAACTTTTAAAATTTGGTTTTATCAGATGGAGATAATAATAATAGTGAACTCTCCCTAAATGTTATTTAATTGTTTGCCAAATCTTGTTTTAAAGCAAGAGTGTTGTAGCAAACAAGCAGCAGAGATGTCAGGCCTCCAGTCTGACTTAATTGATTGACCATACTCCCCCCTTGTCTGTGTGACCTCACAGGCTCAGAAACAAGAAGGCCAGAAGAAGGAGCAGCGTGATGGCAGCCCTGCATCAGGGGCTGGGGCTTCCACCATGGCGGATAACCCGGTTTCGCACTGGCGCTCCCGCTTAACGCTCAACATTGTCGGTGACCACTTCCCGTTTGACAGAGAATACCTCCCAAGTGACGTTCACAGATACCTCAGAGTGTAAGAAGCACACATTACCACTGCCTAACTCTAACCAGAAAACCAGGTTTTGGTCTGTGTAGATCTTTTTAAACATGTGGGGACCACCATTTTCCACCACAAAACACACTGGACCTCCACAAAATAGTTGTGCACCTAAAAGATGTAGAAAAAGAAATCTAAAAACACACTGTAAAAAGCCTGATCCTCACAAAGAAGGAAAACTGACTGTAGCACACAATAATATCACAGCTTTAAATAAAGTTCTAAAGGAATGTTAAAAAAGCCTGGTAAAAAGCTTTTATATGTTGGTGTTTCAGATTCCAGAATGGAAAGAAGATGGTGTATCTACCTCTGCTGTTTGTTGATGAGCTTAGCAACCGGGTCAAAGACCTCGTGGTGAGTCTTTAACTTTGAATAAATGTTATGCAACACTCTGAAACTGGTAGTTACAGCAAAGGAAAATCAAATGCTAAATGTTTAGTGTGCTAAAGATCGCAATACTAATATTGAACTCCATACAATTTTGTTTTCTGAACCAACAAACATTTTTTGGAACTGTGTGTGTTTGTGTGTGAAGGAGATCAACACCACCTCTACAGAGCTTCCTCTGACCATCTCTTATGACTCCATCTCTCTGGGGAGGTTCAGATTTTGGATCCACATGCAAGACGCTGTGTACTCTCTGCAGCAGTTTGGTAGGCTGACCCGTCCGACGGGGGTAGAATGGCATCACAGATGTGTATCCTAACATCTGTTTGAGCATATTTTTGTTTTGCAGGTTTCACAGAGAAGGATGCTGATGAGATCAAAGGGATCTTTGTGGATACCAACTTATACTTCCTGGCTCTGACCTTTTTCGTTGCAGCCTTCCATGTGAGTCTGTCTGATCTATCTAGCGGATTTTGCTTAACAAATATATCGCCATAGTTGCCAATTTTTGTTTTTTACTTACTTAGTGAAGGGTCTAAATATCAAATGGAATATATCCAACTTGTCTTCAATAAATTTAAGAAATATATTAATAAACATTGTGGGCAACTTTGTGTAACGGGAGAATATATGTTAAAAGAATAAAATAATATATCTTAAAAGTAGACAATATGGCAAAATATAGAAAAGTGTGTGATCTTAAAATTCGCGTTGCAATGAATTGTAGTACCACAGAAAAAGGCTTAGAGTTTCTCTAACATGTATGCTAGCTCATTTTGACTGTCATTTTTCCAGCTCCTCTTTGACTTTTTGGCTTTCAAAAATGACATCAGCTTCTGGAAGCAGAAGAAAAGCATGGTGGGAATGTCCAGCAAGGCAGGTGGGTAACCGAACAGGACACCTATGTTCTGCAAATGGCTCATTACTAAATTAACTAGACACATGTATTATAGTATGTACTTGGGAACCTGGGGTATGCCTTTGGAGAAACAAATGCATGAAAAAAATTAAGCTCCAAAGAGTCACCCTTCATTTGTGAGCTCATGTTTAATCTGGTTCAGTTAATCTGGGGTGCCGGCAGCCAGAGGTTTACCTTTACCCATCAAAAAAAAAAACATGCCTGTGTGGTTGTTTTGAAACTAAAGTTTTACCCAAAGTTTGATAAATGAGAACACATGTGGGTTTAGGAGCATGAATTGGTTTTTATTTAAATGAATCCTTTCTTCTTATGCTGTGGCATCATGTCAGCTGGTTTAAAAGAGACATGCGAGTAATGTTAGAAAAAATAAACTATGGCAAGCTGAAAACAAGTTGTTATGGTTAAACGAATAAAGAAAAAGTTGCCTGGTAATTTGAATTTAGTAATCCATGCATCAGTTATCTCCTGCTTAGCTGAAGTTGTATCGTGGAGGTAAGGGGTCAAAGAGGGAGTACATATTATTGATAACTAACACTGACAGAACTGCTGTTCTGCACAACTGTTTCTAACTGTTGTATTTTGGTGTCATGCCCTTGTTTTCAGTGCTCTGGCGATGTTTCAGCACCTTAGTGATTTTCCTGTACCTGTTTGATGAACAGACAAGCCTCCTTGTTCTGATACCAGCCGGAATCGGCTCCATCATTGAAGTAAGCGCTCACTGTGTCAAACACCCACATACGAGGGAAATGATTGTACTTTATCAGAGGCCTCTCAGATGTTCTTCTAATCAAAGACTGCTGCCTTATAATTGTGCGCTAATAATGTAATAGGACACTCTTGAAGTAAAAGTCAAGTTGAATGTGTTCTGCAATCACTCGCCGTGTTATTCTTGCTTGTTTTCGTGGCGTGTGGGTTATGAAACAGTTTGTTTTCTGTGCAGGTGTGGAAAGTGAAGAAGGCCTTCAAGATTCAGGTTTTCTGGAAAGGAGGCAAGCCCACATTCCTGGTAGGTGTGAATCCATCTCAAAGTTTATCATCTGCCCCGTGTGTAACCCCTTTGGTTTAATGAAACCAGTCTGGTCTGTGAAGCGTAACAATGGCCCCTCAGCACTTTAACCGCATTCTACAGAAGATCGGATACATCTGTAACAGCACAGGACGGGCTCAGAGTTGATAGTAGTCTGTAATATTAGCAGTCATCGTTGATCTAAAGCACACTGACCTCATGCAGTACAAATGTGTGTGTTAACCCGTGTCCCTCTCCGACAGTTTGGGAAATTAGATGAATCGGAGAGAAGAACGGAAGAATATGACACTCTGGTAAGAAGCAGCACATTCATAGTCACTCCACATGATGATCAAAGCATTTCGGCTTAATCTTTGTTGTTTTTTTCCTTCTCTGTAGGCTATGAAGTATCTCTCATACCTCCTTTACCCGCTGTGTATTGGGGGAGCAGTGTACGCACTGGTATTTCTGCGATACAAGAGGTATATTTATACACTATTTTTATACAGTTTGATTTCTACAAGCAGTACCAGATAAATGTGAGTCCTGATTGTAAACTTCTTTTCTCTTTTAGTTGGTATTCATGGTTGATCAACAGCTTGGTAAACGGTAGGATACGTTTCTCTGAGCTCTTACTTATCCATACATCAGTTTATTGCCAGTTTCACCTTACATTGCAGTAATTTGTAAAGGGATCTATAACAAACTCGAGTATTCTTGTTATAATTTCAGGGGTATATGCCTTTGGTTTCCTCTTCATGCTTCCTCAACTGTTTGTCAACTACAAGGTGAGGAAACAACAAGAAAACCAATTGGATGTAAAGAAGAAGGCAAAAACTATTATAACATCTATTAAAGTTTCTTGCAACAGTCTCAAGTGCTGCACTTGACTTTCATCTTTGAATATGAACTCGTATATTCTAGTCTAATCATTTGTTTTATTCAACAGCTTAAATCTGTGGCTCACCTGCCTTGGAAGGCTTTCATGTACAAGGTAAAAGTGTTGCGCTATTTTTATGAATGAGGATTTCTTTTGAAAGCGTTCTTTTGATGTAATGGCTGGAGAACATTATCTGCATGGAGTGCTCTTGTTTAAGAATCCTTTCCTCTGACCAGGCATTCAACACCTTCATTGATGATGTGTTTGCCTTCATCATCACCATGCCAACGTCCCACAGACTGGCCTGTTTCAGGGATGACGTGGTGTTTCTCATTTACCTTTATCAGAGATGGTACCCATACACAAACGCAACACACAGTCATAAATGATCAACAGGAGTGGCATGACATTTTCCCTGTCTAAAACTCTCTCCTCTTTTTCCCAGGCTCTACCCGGTGGACAAAACCAGAGTGAATGAGTATGGGGTTTCGTACGATGACAAACCCAAAGGGAAGGCTCACAAGGACTAGAAGGAGAGAAAGGACTGGAGACTGACTCCTGGGATCTGGTATCTATGGGCATCTTGTTTCATCTCTTATCCACTGGCATTGTAGGAGCAGTAAATAAGGTTTGAGACATCAGACACTGAAGTTGCAGATTGAAACCAGTTGAACACCTTCCTGCGTCTCCCTCCCTACAGTGGCCTCTACTGAGCCAGTGTTTGGTTTGTCCATTCCGGGTGAAACATGGCAGAGCAACAGGGTGGACTTTATGGAGGAAAATCCACATTTTTACTAGATAATAACATAATGAAAACAAAAACCATTCTTATTTACCCTCACCAACACTTATGGAATTCCTGCCAGTAGATCACCCCCAATGTGACACACTTGAGCTTTTACTAACTATGACTTAACAGAACTCAATGGTTCAGCTGGGTAGAGATGGACCAAAAGCTATTCCATTTTTGTGGTGTCTGACTTTTCCACAGCACCCTGAAGTACAACGTTGTCAAAGGGCATCTGCTTATCTACTACTGTGTGATGTTTGGAGATATATTTTGGATTTTGAAGTGCGGGATGGGGCGAAGAGACAATTAAGCCGAACTGGTAGCCCTTCAAAACTTAAGCAACAATTTAAACAAGCATGTTTGAGATTGGTGTAACTGACCACTCACAAACTGAGAATCTAGTGGTTCAGATACTCTATGAATGGGGCACAGCACTAACAACAGAGACTGTATCATCAATATTTCTGATTATTGGATTTGTAAACTGGTTTATAGGAAGGATGGCTTTCATGCTTTGCAATGACGGAAGCACCTCTGGATTTAGCCTTTAATTTAGGTTTTCATCTTTTCATCTTGGACAGCAAAAGCATCACTGTTTGTTTGCTTCTCACACACTTTCAGATTATTATACAAGTTATATAATTTATACATTAAAACCCCCAGAAGGTTCAACTTGTGATTGCAGCTTTTTTACTTTAAATTGGGAATTGGTAAATATGTTTATTCCAGTATGATATTACAAGCGTTTTTTTGTTGTTGTTTTTTTTAAGGGAAAAATACACTCTGTGGAATAACTTTGCTATGTAATCAGCTAGCTGGTTAGCTTGTTATTTGTCATTCAAAGGTTGTTATCAGCAATCAGGCTCAGGAAAATATACAGTTCAGATTTGACAGGTTTTAACCAAAATTATTATGCTCACATTGACATATCAATACAGGATTGTTCCTTTAAAGCTGCCCATTACAACTGTACGTTTCTTTAGAATGACCTAAGTTCGAAGTCCTGGAGAGGCTTTCAAGTGCATCTTGTAGAACATAAAATTATGGATTGATACAATATTTCAGCTTGCTGCCATGGTGACACGAAACCTGAAGTTTTTCTAAAAGTAGAAGAAGTAAGAGAGAAGAAAATTGTGACTTGTTGCCGCGGCAATACAGTTGGACGTTAAAGTTGGAAGTGAAGTGGGACGTTGAATTGTGTTTTCTCGGCCCGAGTCACGCGTTAATTCTGTTGTTTTCTTTATGTTTTTTTATTTTACACTGACAGCCGTACTGTTTTTTCCATCCATCCATTCTAATGTTGTGGTTATACCTATTTGAGTATTTAGTTTTTTTTTATATATGAGGGCCAAGAAAAATATGGAGTGCCAAATGTACAAAATACTATTATTTGAATGGTTTTGTCAGCATTCAGTGTGCACCATAATTACCTGTGAAGCTCAGAATCAATTATTTTGGAAAAACAGTGATGGTACGACTTTAAGTATTAACTTCTTTGAATTTAGACCATCAGATCTGGACTACTGTACCCTGTCTACTGTACTTTATTTTATTTACTTAAAGGTAGAAATACTCTACTTGGAATGAATATACTCAATGGTCACTTGTCAAGTACTTTGTACAGAAAGGTCCAGTTCATGTTTTCTGTTAAATGGTAAATGCAGTTAGGATGGATTTGCCAGATTATTCAATTTGTTGAAATGCTTGTGGCTTTGATTGACATTAAATAAACAAAAACTGACAATATTTTATGTGAGGGTATTTATTTGATCAATACATTTGTCATGATTGTGCTTTTAAATTCAAGTTAAAGAAACAAGAGAAAAAACTTTAATTAAAATAAAGTCGTTCTATCAACATGCTCAATTTCAAAATATCCCTTGATGCGATAACTGCTGAAGTATTTTTAATTAAATCTTTGTATGTAATTTAACAGTCATATCTTAATTCCACGTGATAGTTTTCTCAGTGATGTTTTTTCTGTTAGATTTGAAAGTGTAGTTTAAATCTAAATTATAGAGATTCAAAATGTAGGAAAAGCGCCTGTCCCTGGGCTCAGATGGAATGTACACTTTACGTCATCTGCGTAATGACATCATATGACGCATTCCGTACGTCTGCTATATAGAGCTAGTGCCCGCCTCTCTCCCTCCCTTTCCCGCTGTAGGAATTCATCGTGCCTAAGGTGCTTGGTTCTTCACCAGAAGCTAAGGTCCTCAATCCGGCGACTAGCACCGTCAAAATTAGGCATCCAACGCCACAGTTATAAAATAAAACATCTACAATGGCTTCTGTGTCCGAGCTCGCCTGCATTTACTCTGCTCTGATCCTCCACGACGATGAAGTCGCCGTCACCGTAAGTGTCCCGGGTTACAGCACGGCTGAGGCGGTATCTCCTGGAAGCCCTGCGTTCGGGTGTAGATATATGGTCCTAAAATGTATGACCAGGATAATTCTGATCTTAGATATAATTGTAAAGTATTCAGCTAAGACAGTAGCCAGAACGAAGTGTAAAGATGACTGTGGAAGTAGTTCCGTGTGCCGGCTTTAATGGCGGCATGCTTGTTGCTAACGTTAGGCCTTGCTCTCATATCAGAGCAGATGTACATGTTCTCTTGGCTATAAGTTTGACTTTTTATTCGCCTAACCTATGGCCCAGACTGTTGCTGTCACTACTTAAACGAACCTGGTCCGACAGTTTCAGGTTTGGGAAGAATATTCAGCCACTGACAGGTGCAGGCTAATGCTAAGCTAACTAAACTCAGAGGCTGCATCAAACCTCTTTATTTACTTTATTGGTCTAAAGTCCCGTATTACACTTTGATAAAGCTGATAGCTGAATGCACCGGGCCGGTGACGTCTCTGTACTATAGTAGCTGTCAGGCAGGGGCACTTGTAATCAAAACATTAGCAGCATGTTTTGTGTGTTCTTTAGGATGGCTGAAAGACATGTTTCATCCATTAGATGAGAATTACTGCTGATTGTACTACTGAAAAAATCAAACAACTTGACACTAGTATGAGTAGTTGTAACCAGTATAATTTTCTAACTATTTGAATTCTAAATAAAACAAACTGGTGCAAGTTTATTAGTGGTAAAGTGGCATGTCTGATTTATTTAAAAGAGAAGCTAGGGAGTGCTCTACAGATTAATGTTGTTTTTCATTACTACTTTATTTCTGCAGGAGGACAAGCTGAATGCTCTGATCAAGGCTGCCGGAGTCTCTGTGGAGCCCTTCTGGCCAAGTCTCTTCGCCAAGGTGAGAGAACCAGTCCATCTCTTGTGGGGAAACGCTGAGGGATACAGAATGGAACACTGGCAGCATCGAGGAGCTCGCTTTACTGTTAAATGTACACACTTGGACTCAAATGGGCCTAGATGCTCCCATAGTTACTTGGGAGTTAAACAGTGAAATAAGGGATTAACAACTGAAGCCAATTTCAGACGGGGCCTCATTTTCACATTTGTCTGCCTCTGTTACAAGACAGGAAAGTGTCTTTATAAATGTTGGTAAGGACAAGGTCCTTATTTTCTAACCAGAACACCATCATGTGGGTCCCTTTAACAATGTCATCTTAGTTAATTCAGTCACACTTTCAGGTTCAAAGCTGCAAGTGGCGGTGTGTCTGAACCGTTTCTAACATGGCCCACAGAGTTGGACATCGTGTCGTAGGTTGATTTATGTCCTCACATTCATGTACACTGAAATCATGACAGAGACCCAGTTAAGCGTCCCTGTTTTCAGCTGTAGGTGGGGACTGCTTGATCTGTGGATTTCATGGTTGGGATGTTTATACCAATGGTGTCAGATGACAACACGCAGTGTGTTTAGTTTGTGATTGGTCAGATGGGGCCTGGGACAGGCGGATAACATGTCCTGTGAATCTCCTTACAGGCCCTGTCCAGCATCGACATCGGCAGCCTGATCTGTAACGTGGGAGCCGGAGGCGGCGCTCCGGCCGGAGTTCCGGCTGCAGGAGGAGCCGCTGCCACTGGGGACGCTCCAGGTGAGCAGACTGTTCGCTGCAGTGGTGTGACTGTGTTTTTCTTCTAAATGAAGGAGGGTTTTGAGCAGCCCCTCGGATATGTGTGGTGGTTTATTTTTTTACGTTTAGAGCATTCACTGCATAAGGCCACCAAGATTACATTTTAATCTGTAACCTTTTTTTTTTTTTTTTACCACAACAGCTAAGGAGGAAAAGAAGAAAGAAGAGAAAAAGGAAGAGTCTGAAGAGTCAGATGATGACATGGGCTTTGGTCTCTTTGATTAAGCAGTGCTGTTTTTCTAAAAACACAATAAAAAAACAAAAACTGATTACTGAATGCTTGTTTTGTTGGTGTTTATTACCTTCTGGGCAGCAACAACATTTTGGAGGCTTGAGCATGGAATATCGATAGATATTTTTTACTGATGAGGGAAAAAGTTGAGCATGGACTTAAGTCTTTGGGATGTGCATTCCTGTTGACATTTGTGAAATAAAAATGACTGAACTTGAAAACTTGTACTTGAAACTCATCTGGTGCCTTTACATGAGATTGTGTTCTCATCTGCAATTATTTCTCCTAGTAGCTAGAGGATCACATCCCTTTATCAGCTTCAAGGAAATCTCTCAACAGAAAGCACATTTGTACCAAAAGTTCAAACTTCATGGATCAATCTTATTTTTATTAAGGACATGTACCCAGTGAGGGATCACATCAGTACTCTCATACTGTAGCAATATGAAAAAGCTTAAACAGACATAATGTTGTGTATTTGGTCTGGTTTAGAACACGTGTCATCAAAATGGAAGATCCACAGGTTTCTTTATCCTGTGATTTCGTTCTGAATGACATATTTAGATCGACTGGCATTTTTAAGTGTCACAACCTGAACTGGAAGCAGCCTATAAATACCGTGATGGTTTCTATCAGTCACCTTCCTTGTTGCTCTTCTCGATCTGTCTTTCCAGCACTCAGGGATTTGGTCACATAGTCACGGTTATGATTGGAGCTGTATTAAGCCTGTCTTCCAGTTCTAGGTTTTCCAGCCTGCCCTCTTAAAGGTCCGCCTTGGCTTCACTCTCTCTCTCTTTCTCTCCAGCCAGGCAGCCAGAATAGCAGCACTGCTGCTCACTACCATTTCCTTGTCCCCTTTTTGTATGTTTTAACCCTTAGTTTTGTTACAAATCCTATTTTGATACGCTAAATGTTGTGGTGTTTTCCGCTATGTTGCACCCACCGAGCCGGGGCGTAACATATTTGGGGCACGTCCTATTTTTGGTTTGAATTCGGAGTGTAGTTTGCTTAGTGTTCTCCTATTGTTAGTTGTTTTGGGGTTTAGGTTGTGGATATGCTGTCTAGTTGTTCATGGCTGCTAGTTTAGTCTCCCTTTTGTCTCTGAGTGTATAGAATCAGAATTAGGTTTATTGCCAAGTAAGTTTTTCACCTACAAGGAATTTGCTTTGGTGTTTGGTGCACAACACTTCTATGAGAAACAAGAAAGGACATACAATGTAGAAATAAAAATATAAAATAAATAATAAAATAAAATATTGAATGTCCAACGACAGACTAGAAAATGTTGAACGTAGCATTGGGTAATTTAGTGGGGTAGAGGGGGGTGAGAGAAGAATAGGTGGGGGCCACTGGCCTCGTTGATGAGGCCAGTTGCTGCTGGATAAAAACTGTCTTTATGGCGTGAGGTTTTGGTCCTGATGGTCCCCAACCTTCTGCCAGAGGGGAGGGTTTCAAAAAGTTTGTGACCAGGGTGAGAAGGATCAGACATGATCTTTTCTTGATCGCCTTAAAGTCCTGGAGGCGTACAGTGTCCTGAAGGGATGGCAGATCGCAGCCAATCACCTTCTCGGCTGAGCGAATGATACGCTGCAGTCGGCCCTTGTCCTTAGCGGTGGCAGCAGCGTTCCAGATGGAGATGGAGGAGGTGAGGATGGACTCAATGATGGCAGTGTAGAAGTGCACCATCATTGCCTTAGGCAGGTTGAACTTCTTCAGCTGCCGCAGGAAAAACATCCTCTGCTGTGCTTTCTTTGTGAGGGAGCTGATGTTCAGCTCCCACTTGAGGTCCTGGGTTGTAATGATCCCCAGGAAACAGAAGGACTCCACAGAAGCAATTGTGGAGCCACCCAGAGTGATGGGAGCAGGTGGTGCTGTGTTCTTCCTGAAGTCTACAACCATCTCCACTGTCTTGAGCGCGTTGAGCTCCAGGTTGTTGACTGCACACCAGGACACCAGACGGTCGATCTGCCACCTGTAGGCAGACTCGTCCCCATGTGAGATGAGTCCGATGAGGGTCGTATCATCCGCGAACTTCAGGAGCTTGACAGACTGGTGGCTGGAGGTGCAGCTGTTGGTGTACAGGGAGAAGAGTAGGGGGGAGAGAACACAGCCCTGGGGGGGATCCAGTGCTGATGGTCCGGCTGTTGGAGGTGTGGCTTCCCAGCCTCACATGCTGCCTCCTGTCAGATAGGAAGTCAGTGATCCATCTGCAGGTGGGATCAGGCACACCCAGCTGGGAGAGTTTGTCCTGGAGGAGAGGGGGGATCCTATGTGGCTGGGGAGTCCAGGTGCTGGAGGCTGAAGTGGAGAGCCAGGTTGACAGCGTCATCTACAGACCTGTTGGCTCTGTAGGCAAACTGCAGTGGGTCCAGGTGTGGGTCTGAGATGGCTTTCAAGTGGGCAAGGACAAGGCGCTCAAATACCTTCATCACCACGGAGGTCAGGGCGACAGGTCTGTAGTCATTGAGGCCTGAAATCTTTGTTTTTTGGGGGACGGGGATGATGGTGGAGGTTTTGAAGCAGGCGGGCACATTGCATGTCTCCAGCGAGGTGTTGAAGATGTCGGTGAACACAGGAGACAGCTGGTCTGCGCAGTGCTTTCAGGATGCTAGGAGAGACAGAGTCAGGTCCCGCTGCTTTGCGTGGTTTTTGTTTCCTGAATAGGCTGGATACGTCCTTCTCCTGGATGGAGAGAGTCATGGTAGTTGAGGGATGGGGGTCCTTTGATGTGGGCAGTTGTGTGGGGGGGGCAGGCTCCTGCTGAGGTGGGGGTGGGGATTCAGGTGGGCAGGGGCTGGTGGTAGTGGGGGATGGTGTTGGTGTTAGGACTGTCCCACTGTCTTTCGAATCTGCAGTAGAAGTCGTTCAGCTCGTTTGCCAGACGCAGGTCGTTGACAGAGTGGGGGGGTTTAGGTTTGTAGTTGGTGATCTGTTTACAGAGTTTGAGTTTCTGTCAGTATGGAGGAATCAGATGGACCATGACGTGGTCAGAGTGGCCCAGTGCAGCGCGGGGGACGGCGTGATAAGCGTTGCTTATAGTGGTGTAACAGTGATCCAGAATATTCTCCTCTCTGGTCGGACATTTAATAAGTTGTCTGTATTTTGGGAATTCGTGGGTGAGGTTACCTTTTTGTTAAAGTCGCCGAGGGCAATAACTAAAGAGTCCGGGTATGTCCGCTCCACACGCAGTATCTGGTCGGCGAGCGTGCGCTGTGCGTCCTGCACGCTGGCAGATGTAAACACCGACCAGAATGAATGAGGCGAACTCACGGGGCGAGTAAAAGGGTTTGCAGTTAATGAAAAAAAAAAATTTGTGGCTAGTTTGGTCCCTCTGGCTAGACCAGGGAGTGTTCCAACAAGTTTGGTTCATTCATTTGTTGTTTTGTCTTTTTTATTTTCGAGGCAATCCTGGGTGGAGACACCAGTCTCTGTCAGAGTCTCAAATAAGACTACTGATGTTCTGCTTTCAAAGCCACCTCTAGCCCGGCACGTCTCAGGCTTTAGTCCTGTTTAGGACCATTTTGTGCAGTGTTTATGTTAATATGCACTCAGGGTTTGTATTGCATAGTTTGGTGGGAGCTTTTGTGTAAATTAGGTGAGTAATAGTGAGCTTTATTTGTGTCCTTGAGCCTAACTTAATGCAGTTTAGTGTGTTGTGGAGGTTTGTAAGTAGCTTGACATGGTGTGTGGGTCAAACTGTAGTTTAGCAGCTAATCGCTGCGTAGACTAGTTTGTTGTTACTTTTGTGGCTAGTTTGTAAGTTTGGGCCTACTTGTTTGAGAGAGCATTTTGTTAACTGCTTTGTGTATGGGGACACTTAGTGTGCATGAAATAGTGCATTTGTGTGGTTTTCCTCCTCAGTTTTTTACTTGGTTGCCAACAGTAGTCTAGAACATTTACTATGGCTTCTATCTCAGATTTGATTCAGTCACCTTCAGAGGAGTTGCTAGACAGGTTCACTAGAGAACAGTTACTGAGTTTAGCTGCACATTATAATGCAGATACTTCAGGTTGGAAGTAGGTTGTTTTCCGTTATGTTGCACCCAACGAGGCATGGCGTAATAGTCACCTTGGTTACGTCATGGGTTTCCGTAGTGTAGTGGTTATCACGTTCGCCTCACACGCGAAAGGTCCCCGGTTCGACCCGGGCGGAAACATCGTTACATTTTCTATTCTAACGATAGAAGGCCGTTTATTTGCATCCCAAATGAATTTCCTTCTTACTACTCCACTTACTTATGACGGGAAAATAGATTATATCAATAAACGGGTTTCTATTAGTAATAATAGTATTTTCACAATATTATTCTGACAAAATAACACACATACACAAAAAAATAATCCACATTTTTCTTAATACTAATAATAATTAATTAATAATTGAGGTAAGCTAAGGAGCAACAGTTTGCTCATATAAGTCAAAACAATAATTAAGTGAGAAAAAGCCAAAGGTAAAATGGAAATGCAAATAGGACATTTTAAAACTTCAACATACTTCATATGATATCTCTATTCTTATGTTATGTCTGCTTTTATCCCTTGTTAGTTTATTTGCCAGCTGAGTGCACCTGGAACTCAAGTTTTAAATGATAAGATAGTCAATTGGCTCGGCAAGAGAAAAATATATGTTTGCTTTGCTTGTGGCAGAAAAAAAACAAACAAACATCTGTCTAGATTAAAATGAGTGAGTGAAGGACAGACACAAGAAAAACAAAAACACTTTTAATGGTTTTCATTAATAACAGTGTTTTATTTGCTTGGTTTAGCAACTGTACATGTGTCTCCTTCCTGAGAATACTGCTCACCAGAGGGGGGGGGGAGCAGCACGAGAAACCAGCGAGGCAGGAGAGGAAGACGGAGATAAAGGCAAGCATGGATGACAGAGGGAGAGATGCAAGGTGCCAGAAAAGTGGAAAACAAGCAGCAAAAATATAAATAACTCCAGTGAAGAGCGGCATAAAGGTAAGGGGGGGACAATAGGACATAATTGGATAATCATTATTAAATAATCCACTTAATCAAGACACGTGTCTTTTTACAACCACCAACCAGCCTGTAAAAGTAATTTGAAAAAATGGTTTGAGTGTTTTTATGGCAAGTTGACTGTATGTGTGACTGTCAGAAATCGGACAGGATACAGCCTGACACAAAAGTCCACATCGATGGGTCAATATCTACAGCTTCTATAAACGGCAATATCAACATTGTGTTTTTTTTGTAGAGAAAACTTGAACAATATCGGTACATTTGGAATGAAAAGTTTCTCTGTAGTTACATGCAGTTTATCTGGCAAAGGAAGAGCTATTGTGTACAATAATCGGCATCCTCAGTGGAACTTAAAAAAAGCCCTCCGTGTCTCATCCATCTTTCTCCACTGCTCAATAGCAATGCGATGCCTCAAAATCGTGTTAAAAATAGAGCTTCTTTGTACATTTACTATGCAGGTTAACCTAAAAAGTGGCTTGCAGCATTTTTTTAAATATTTTTCTCCATTAAAAAAGAAGGTTTTGTTCTTTAAAATGTTATGCCACCTGAGATAAAGATTTCTAAAGAGGGGGAAAATGAGATGTGATTATGACATTTGGGAGCATATTTTCAATGAGTGTTGCTCATTCAAAGTTCAAGAGGAAGACCGACATGCTGCAAGGGTGGAGGCAGAAAACATTATAATAAAGATACAAAAACATGTTTTAAACAACAACGCTGTGAAATCATCTTCATTATCCTCCTCCAGCTTAGTTCCAGTTCCTGCATTTGGAGTTTTATTCATGGGTCCCGTCCTTCAAGTCAGGCTCTGAATCCTTTTATCGCTCGGCTTTCCTCAGATTTAAAAATGCATAATGATTTTCAAAAAATAAGAAGATGACCATGAACAGTGTTCCTCCGGATACATGAGCCAATAATAAATCTTTAGTGGAAAGTACAATATTGACCAGAGGGAGGAAGCACTGAGTCATTCAGGTAGGAGAAGAGGGGCTGATTGTTACCGTCAGGGGGGTCCGACGTCCATACGTACGCTCCGTGTTTTCATCTATCCCGAGAAGATATCAAACATAATGTCCAGACTCAAATCCATCCATCTCCCCCGACGATCCTCTTATGTTTCATGACAAGAAACCTGTGGCAGTTCCATTGGATCGGGGACTAATGTGGGTGAGGCTGGTTGATCATCTTGAGTCGTGATTGGTCGATGACGTCCAGCAGGTTCTTGGCATCCACTGCCAGGGCGTGAGCTGCCATTAGCATCTGTTTCTTGTAGTCCTTTTGTAAACTATCCGGAGCACAGACAACGGACACGGTGTGAGAACAAAGGCCCCGTCAGAAGAACATTTACCATCCGCCTCAACTCACCTCGTCATGACGTACTGTTGGGCCAGTTTCATCTTTGCTATTAGTTCTGCCAGATCGGAATTCAGCAGCTTCTGAGCCATCTCAATCTGTGGAAAGACAAAGACATCAGATGCAGGTTTAGTCAAAAAGGAAGAGGAAATCAATCCATCACATATAGTGGAGGATTTCTGTTCTCTTTCCCTCTTCTGTGTGAACGGCAGACAAATACTAACACTTTGCAATATGACAGACACATCACTCTGGGTTTAAAAGGAACACGTGTTTATCGATTTTTCCTTTCCTTTATACTTCTTCCATTAAATAAATATATGTTACTACAATCAGTACTTATTGGGTGTTAGAGGTGGTGATGCTTACATATGCAGAGTACAACATGACTAAATCCTTACACCCACTGACTCAAAGGAAGGAATTCAGCCCCCATACCGTGCAGGCGGGAACTTTAAACATATTCCTAAACATATTTTAGTGCTCCTAAGAGTTTTAATTGCAGTGCAGCCATCAGTTGTTTTGAGTTTTCCACCTCTGTTTCTACATGTTTGAAAAAATGATGGCATGGTTATCAGTCATTTCCACAGTTTATTCCAGCGGGATCATGCCCATCAGCACTTTACTCTGAAGCCCTCTGAAACTCTTAAACGGGATTTTTACAGAGTGTGTGCAGAGTGTGTTTACCTCTCGGTGTGTGCTGGCTGGCAGCACGGGAATCGTCTCATCCACTGTTGCCAGGAGCGTCCTCAGAGCCAGACCCACCTCCTACCAGAACACACACACTTTCAGCACACTGGTGTCAGGCAGCTTTCATTAAACTCTCTTGACGGTCAGTTACCTTGACCATGGGGACGTACTCGTCGGGGGCAGCAGGCTGAATCCTATTGGACATCTCGATCACGGCTTTCACCAGTCCCGTCACGTTCTCATACACTTTGTCGTTGGAGCGATCCAGGTTGGCGGTGGGTGGCGGGCTGATCTCTTGAGGCTGCAACTGGACCAACAGACCACAGTGTGTCCCTCAGACAAACTAAACGTTCTGAAGACAATCCGTCATTTCTCTCACTAGACATGCTCCACCATGAGTGTCTTCCTATTGATGAAAATGGGTAAATATTCAGCCGTCACTCAAACTGATCAAAGCTCGAGTGTGAGTGACTGCAGTTTCAATGACCCAACACTAGATGGCAGTATGTGACAACTGAACTACTCTGCACACAGGACCTTCTATTCCTGTTAGCATGCATTAAATGCTACCTACTACTGTTATTATGCGTTATGCAGCTATACGGGGTGTTAGTATAGGCTGGTTATTTAGGGAAAAGCTCAAAGTTAAACCTGCACAAAGTGATTCTTACGTCCACATTACGTCAACTCTGCAGCACATGAAATTACCTCCATGTCTACGAGGAATCTTGCAATAAAGAAATCCCTTAGTGCAGGTTATATGCTCACATAGCTACTTGGTTTTGGCTACAGTGTGCTTTTCAAATGTGGCGCAGAATTCGTGTGAAGCCTTGAGTCAGAGAGAGGCTGAAGTCCAAATCGGAGAAAATCAGCTTGAGACTTAATCTACGGTTCTTAGTGACTTTCATCAAATTAAGATCGGCTGTTAATGTTGGTCAACAAATTTTGTTTCTTCGTTAGTGAAAAACCTTAATCTGTTTAAGAAGGTTAGACGAGTCTAACTTTGCATCTAAATCCATTTCTCTACACTTTGACTGAACTTCGCTACAACATTTGAGTTAAATATGACACGTTAAAGCCTTTTCTTCACCAGAAATGCTCCTTGCAGTCATACAACGAATCGAAATATCCTAACATCCATCCATCCATTCATTATCGTAACCGCTTATTCCCTAATGGGGTCGTGGAGATATCCTAATACTACCTGATCATTAGCATGTGGGGGGAGGTAGCCTCAAATTTGAATAGAAACAATGGGGAAAGATTTCCCAACTTGTTTCATCTCTGGTGAAGAAAAAACTGTAAATGATGAGGCTTGTTCATGGTGACCGACTGCTAACTAACACTATGATGACGAGAGGTCGAACAGCTTACCCTCCATGGCTACAGGTTGAGTTTGGGTGGAAGGGGGTTGCCAAGGAGATATTGAATAATAATAGAGGGAGCAGGGTGCGATAAGTGGCAAGTGTTGGTGGTTTGGATTGATGGGTGTGTGGAGAGAAAGTCAGAAAAAAGAAGATGTTGGAAATAAATACGATAACAGGGCGTTAAATTGATGATGGATGAAGTGGAGAGGATGTGTAATGGGGAGAGAAGAAGGGCAGAACATTAGGCTGAAGCAGGCCACAGGCAGGGTATGACCAGCACAGCACAGACCAAATAAAACAATAAAGCACAGAGCAGCTATCGCATTTCCTTTAGATGGACAGGAAAGAATGTGTGTTGACATTAAAACTGGGCCTGTTCAGAAGTTTGTGTTCCTTTCATGTACCTTGACCCCCTCGTTGTAGCTGTCCACAGGGCAGAGACTGGCCAGGTTACCGAGGTGACCAGGAGCTCCAGGACGAGGCGGCTTCTTAGGAGGGGCCACGTGTTCTGCAAATAACAAAAGTCATTGCTGATTACTGCATTTGCATTTCCACACCGCCATCTGTACACACTTTGGATTTCATTTCTTTCTTCTTCATCATTTCCCTTGGTAAATTGTTCATTTTATATACTGTTATTCTGCTGTTTATCTTTAACTTGTTAAGTAGGCTGTATGCCAGCAGGTCCCATACACAAAATATGCTTTTTTCAAAATAAGACTGTGTACATCATATTAAAATACTTTCATAACAGCATATAACCCAACATTTTAATCTTAAAATGCTTTAGCAATAGTCTTAATATGTATACAGTGTGAGAAGACTTCAGTTTGTTAATACGATGCCACTATTCACCTGGTTTCCCGACAGGCTGGTAGATGTGCTGACTTCCACCCTGTGTAGACAAGCACACACACCCACACACACACAGTTGAGTGTTAACTGATACTTGGTAAGTCTGGCCTTTTCACATCAATGAAGCCGAGGCGCGGGGTTAATGTTGAAAATGAATGTTATTTTAACATTTTCTATTCTAAACAAAGACTAATGTACACTGTCTGAAGTTTTTTTTCTATTCAAGTTTGTGTTTATTACAAATATTCCAACTCTGATGGATGCATATTTAGAAATCTCTTCAGTTCCTCTTCTGCATGAGTTTAATCTCTTGAGGGAAAAAGTGCAGAGCAGAGTTTGAGCTTTTCAGCGAAAGTGGAGTTCCTCTGAGCTTAAAGTTCCCATGGGTGCATTGTGGTCAAGCCGTTGGTATGTAGGCAGTGCCCTTCATGGCACATGGACAGAAATACTTTCTCTGCTTCTCCCAGTGTCTGTGTTTTCTTATGTTTCTTTGTCATTCACACACTGAAAGCATTCCCTCTCTCCACAGCTCAATGACTATCTAGATCTTACATCTGCACTTTACCTGAAATATTCTTCACTTATCAAAAACTGTATGAGTCAAAAGTCAAGTTTAACTTCCTAGAAGCTCAACAATGAGTCTGCAATTTAAAAAAAGAAAATAAAAACCTCAAAAGTTCACATGCAAACGTGCAGTGACTGACCGGTGGCTGCAGAATGCCGTCCTCTCTGTCGATGCTGCCTCTGCTGTTTCTGGGCTCGGCCTTCTGCGGGAAGATACAGACACCAACATCGGTACGCAGGCATTTCTTTAAAAAATGTCTACACAAATAAAGATGAAAGCTGTTGCAGGCCTGGTCCAAACTAAATACCAGCCATCGGCAAAGTGTTTTTGCAGAATTCGAACTGCACCAGTGTCAAACCCAACGTCATCATAGGGTCAGTGAAGAAAAAGAGGAATAAGAAGACAGAACTACAATACTGAACACACAGATAACGCCACGTCTCAAGTTTCTGCTGCTGCCAATGTCCAAAGCCTCAGAACAGTGAGCAGCACCTTCTCAGTCCGTTTCAGTACCGTTTTGGTGAAGCACGCCTTGAAGAGATGCATCCTGGGAGAATGGAGCCTGAAGAAGACGGGAGGTGGAACGCAGAGAGTGGAGGCCATCGAAAGAAGAGCGGAAATGAGGACAGAATATAATAAAGGGAGCGGTGGAAAAGCTTAAACCATGAGGAGGGCTGATGGACGGAGAAAATGGTAGACAACACAAAGAAATGAACCGAGTAAAAGAAGAACTGAGTCAGAGGGGGATGGAGAGACAGACAGAGAAAGAGTGAAAGTTTTTCCAGAAGAGGAAAGATCCACTGAACCACAGAGACTAAATCCTGGAGAGAAAAGCTCCAGCCGTCTCCCTCTCCTCCGTTCTTCCCTCCCACTCTTTCCATCTCTCTGCATCTCCCTCTGATGGGTGAGTCCACTCAGTCCTCCCTCTCCATGGCTCTTGCCAATCCCACTTCCTTTCTCCCTCCCTCTTTCCTCCTCCTGTGCTTTCCTTGTTATTTTTCCTTCTCTGTGTTGACCCAACATTAATTAATCACAAATGAACTTAACGTACATTTTATCAGGAGCAATTCGTTTTAAAAAAATCTTCAATCCTCTGGCAGCAAATATTTGAATCCCCACATCTTCTCCATAAATAAAACCGTTTTGCTTCATTTGCCCAAAAGCTTAAAACACCACATGTCTCCTTTTCTTCTGATATAAGTTTTCCTAAAGAAAACATATTACAAAAGCTTTTATGTGGATTCTCCAAACAGGCACAGATCTTTATCATTAACTTTTCATGATATTCAGGGCAAACTAACGGGTATTTATTTTACTCTTTCAGGGGGAACAGGATTTTTCTGTCCTTATGTAAGATCAATCTGGGACCTGCAGATACTCATGTGATTTTATATGCTCTATCTTTTGGGTTAGGTGTGCTAAAGCCTCCAATACATGGACATGTAACCAGTCGACATTGTGGAGCCATGGATAATGGGAATCTAATCAGAGTCTCTCCTTAAAACAAGCATCCTTTATGTTTTTTGCCACTGCTCCTCTTTTTTTCAGAGTAGAGATGAATCCGTGTGCATGTGTAGCTGGTGTGCACAGGGACAAATATTTGGGCTGCACACATTTGACCGCAGAGAGGCCAGGTGGAAACCATGAATTGTCTTTTATTTTCATCAAACTACGAGTCATCATTTCAGTCAAACGTTAAAAAAGAACACCTGGAATATCTCAAGAAACTTGCCTCTGACTATTTGCAGTAAAAAGGTCAATTTACCATTTAGGGCTGCAAACTCAACAGTCTGAAAAATTTGCATTTGAGAAGAATTTTCATGTAAATGTTAGAATAATATTTCTGTTCTTAGGACTTCAGAAGTCTTGGACCAGTATAATAACTGGTTTTTATATCAACCAGTATAATAACTGCTTAATAGTCGGATTCTTTAAAAGTGGACGGCTGCCTAAAAATGATGCAACCTTTGAGGTTAAACACGTGAAAGTCTTTGCTGACTGTTTAACATTACTTTCTCTCCTCATTTACATCTGCCTGAATTATCACACAAAACTTTAATCTTAATTAGAAACTATTTCATTACTTTCTCATTTTACCAAAGTAGAAGAATTGACTATTTTTTCTTTTAGATAACAAAATATTTCATTGTTTAATTTGAAGCCAGTAGCAGTTGCTCAACATAAAATCCCAGGCATTTTGATGGAAAATAAATAAGAACATTCTTAAGAGACATTTGATATATGTATATCCCTGAAAGACAACTGATAGATGGAGAGGAAACATCCAACACTCATGTGTTCCTTACTCTTTCCCTCTCTCTTTAATTTCTTCTACATTTGGTTAAAAAAAAAAAAACGGGAATTTCCCTAGGAAAGCGAGAAGAATAACATTCTGACCTGAACCGAGGAAAAGCAGACCTGTTATGTAAAAGCAGAGCTCTGGCTGCTATGGGAGATTTCAGCGTCTGGTCTGATAAGTCAAGCACGCTTAACTCAGACTGTTCAAAGTTTTAATTCTACTGTGTGGAAAAGTGCCCTATTTATGCTTTTTTTTCCACATTTACGTTAATTTCCTATTGTTGACCCATTATTTGGGTGTATGGCATGCCTTATTTAGACTTCATGCATTTTCCATTTACTTTTTTTGCTCATAGAATTGTAAATATTTCAGGATCTGGATCATTTTATGAAACACAGAATGATATCAATTTGAGATAAGAAGCCAGCTCATGCTCAGTATAAATTCCATGACCCCTGCTTTAATCATCCAGAGTAGTTTTAAGTAACACATCATGGCTTCATTTCTTTACATCTCTGCATTCTCCTACAATGCTGGAAAGTCTTGCAATAACTCATAATCCAGCTTTAGCTCTGGTGGCTTAAAAGCTGTGCATTAGTGTGTCTGAGTTACCATGAGGCTCTCCTCCTGCTCCAGCCATCGCTGGTCGTCCTCCATCTGCTGCTGCTGCATCATCAGCCTTTCCTCCATCAGAACCTGACCCACACATCCACTTTCCTGTACAAACACAGGTGCTTCACTGTCAGCGGTTCATCCATCAGCCTGCGTCAGCCCCCCCACAACTCTGAAGTATCATACAGGGTCGAGTCAGAAACAAATTAGTCATATGTAACTCGGAGGGATTTTGATTCATTTTCACACAGATGAACCATAATACACTATAATCTTTGTTAATCTTCTGCTTTCAGTGATTCTTTAAAATATCTTTACAATTTCCTGCAGCCAGTTTCTACTTCTGATGGACATTGACCACAAGCTGCAACAATTAAACAAAAAATAAAGAACTTTACATTTGACAAAAAATTTCAAAAATGTCCCCAAAACAAGAATACCTGTTGTCCTCAAAATAATTTCAACTCTTCCTCCTAGTCCAGAAAGTTTGTGCGTGTACCTCTACATTTGGGCTCCACAGTGCAGTGTGTTCGGGTCTGTGCTGATTCCATGTATCCGAGGCCGGGTAGCTGCCTCCAACACCCCCGTGAGCTGTTGGCTGGAAGTGATTGACACACAGACAAGGGAACGGTGAATCATTTTATGTTATGTATGCACAATACGTGGTAGCATTTTAGTAAAAAATGTGTGTAGGGGTAAAACCCTCTGCACAACAAATCAGTAATTATTAATGTACAGACATTTTAAACATCTTAATACATTAAAAGTCTCAAACAGATCGTCCATTTTCCTGTCTGTAAAGTCGGGATTTCTAGATTGTAGATTTTATATCCTTTTTATATCCTTGAAACTCAAACTTACTCTGGCCTGTAGCACACCCCAAAATATATACAAGTTATTCTAAATGATGATTATGTTAGACTTAAATAGCACTTTAAATCATACACACATTCCTTATAAGGATGAAAGCAAGAGCCATAAAAGCTGAAGAATGGCTTTGATTTGTGAGTATCTGCGTGTCCAACAGTGAGTGGCTTCTAGCACTACAGGAAATGCCTCCCGTCTGCTCCGTTTATGAGGAGAGGGATGAGGGCCCTCAAGAGTGTCTCTCATTTTCTCTGCCTTCATATTTCCCTCTCTGCCTTTGACACAAGCCTGACAGTGTTTATACTCTGAGTTAATTCAGCGTTAATGCTAAGTTTGCCGAGTTGGCTCTCATTGGAATGATGGCGTGTGAGCTGCTCACTTCAAATAAATTATGTAATAATGATCAGATTTTTCCATTCCTCCAGATATGAATCTGTTTTTCTCAATACATAATTCAAGTAGAACTCACAACTGCTGACAAATAGACAACAAGCTATAGACTAAGTAGGAAAGATAGTGATGAATATTCAAAGGCCCTGGGGTTTTCTAAATCAAGAGGAAATAGCAAATTCCTGACTGGTTGGTATTCAATGTTTTTTTTTAACTTTGTCTGTTAAAGTGCAAAGCATAACTGTAGCCACTCAAAACATTTCACATTCACAGGAAAATCCAGCGCCTGCCGTCATGAATGAACAGTTCAGTTTCCTCCCAGATAAAGGAGCGTGTTTGTGTGGATTTACCGGGAAGTGGTTGTGCTGGGGGCTGGTGAAGAAGCCTTCACTGGAGCGGGGACTGGGGTAACCTGGTCTGCTTGGCTACGGAGAGATGTCAGTATGATGGCGTTAGCAACAGACAAACAAGGTTGATCATCACAGTTTATGGACTCTTACTTTAGGCGGAGCTTCATCAGAACCCCCAGAGTCCCAGGAGACAGTGACCTGCCTCCTCATCTCCATTCGAAGTCTCTCTTCCTGTTGAAGCTTCTCTTCTTCCAGTATGGTGCTACAGGAAGAAATATGCGTAATAATTTTTTATAGGTTGTGACCCTCCTGACAGGAAGACTGCAGGGCCTTAAAATTCTCCCATTGTTTTTAATATTAATACCAATTTTCTGAACACTGATCCTTATGTTTAAAGAGAGAGTTTATCACTACCAGTCATCAATCAATTCACAACCACTTTTATCAACAATAATAAAAAATACTTTATTTTAAATTAAAATATTCCACAGGGTCAAAATAAATACACAAAATGTTCAGCTACAGCTGTAGTCATACACTCAGCATGATAGGACGGTAATAAGAATATCACAATTTGTGATAAAAAAAATTTCCTCCCTCAGTATTTCACAAAAATGTGTTACCTGAGTTGTGTTTTGAGTTCAGTGAATCTGGGTCTCTTGCTCGGGTCGTACGACCAACATTTGGTCATCAAGCTGTAGAGGGTGGGCGGACACTGGGGGGGCATGGCAAGTCGTTCGCCATTCTCTATCCGGCCAATCACGTCATTGTTCTTCACGCCCTGGAAGGGCTTGATGCCATACATCAAGATCTCCCACATACACACACCTGAAAACCCAGAGAAGCAGAGCAGCGTATGAACGCAGACTGGCAGCACGGCTCTGACTTCATTCACCGATAACACAGTAGGTCTGGATGCCCCAAAGGGTCAAATTAGTCCTGGCAAATAAACACTGGGTAACTCCTAAAAATATCAAATGTCCTCTGACCATGAAATATAACCACAACTCACCAAACATCCACACATCGCTCGCTGAAGTGAATCTCCTGAAGTTTATCGATTCAGGTGCCATCCACTTAATAGGGAGTTTACCTTTAGAAGCTGAGGCACACAATCATGGATACATCAACAGTAGTTCTCAACAAAATTATTTTCACAACATCAAATACAAAGCTCTGTAAAAAATATTGCTGGTGTCTTTTTAATCAAAGTAATGTCCTGATTTGAAATGTCCTAAATGTTACCAGCAGATGGTGGTAAAGTGCTGGCATGATGATTGGCTGACTTCCTTTTTTTTTCTTTTTCTCCATAAGATTTTTTTGTTTTGTTTATGGCTTTACATGATTTAGTGGAATGCTTTTAAGAAGGAAAAAATAATAATTCTGACCTATTTTACCCTCACTGATTCAACGTGATGTGTTACAAGAAAACGGTGAACTTTGTGTTGACTTACCTTTGTAGTAAGAGCTATCCTCCATGTATCGGGAGAGACCGAAGTCTCCAAGCATCACACAGTCAACAGAGGAGACCAACACATTGCGTGCTGCAATGTCCCTGTAACACATACACAGATGTGATTAGACCTGAATCCTACTACATCATGTTTGTCCTTTATCTGTCATGAGAGATGTACTGTGAAACGTCTGTTTGTGCCGCAAGCTAAAAATAATTTTTTTTCAACAACTGGAGCTTGGATTGCGGTAAAATTGGGCTACATCTGGTGTAATCCACCACCATTCATCAGAAGTGAAAAATATGTCTATTCTATGGTAATTGAGGCACAATGTAAGGCTTTACAGTAAATTATTAAGACAATAGTTAAGAAATACTGATGTTACCAAATTATGATTCATGAGAGTCTGAAAGTTACATTTTCCACTCATCAGAAAAATAATGTCTATTAAACAGTGCAGACAAACTGAAAGCGGCATTGGTTTCAGTGGAATATTATATTAAAAACTGGCCTGTTTCATTGATAAAATACTACCTGAATAAAGACAATAATCAAGAAATGTTGTTTATGATACACGTATAATTTCTGAACAAAGATTACCATTTCCTGTCTGACTGCACGCATGGATGCATGCGTATGTGTGTATGTGTGCGTGTGTGTTTACCTGTGGACAAAGCGTTTACTCTCCAGATAGGCCAGAGCTGTACTGAGCTGATAGGCAAACAGAATCAGTGTGGCCAAGTCCAGACTATACTTCCTGACCTGAAGAAAAGACCGCAACTACAAACAGACAGAAAAATTGGCTGTAAATACGCAGAGGTGAAGCTGAGGGGCACCGTTTCACAGGGTGTGCACGTGGTAAAGAGTAGAGAGCAAGTCGGAGAGTAGTTCTACCTCTCCAAGAGTGCACAGCTCCATGATGATCCACACTGGGTTTTCTGTGATCACTCCTATCAGCTTAACAATATGAGGGTGGTCGAACTGACGCATTGTTACTACATGAAACACAAAAGCACATCAAAGTCAGCACTTAGGAGTCTGTCAGTGGTGGTGGGGTGGTGCGCTGTAAGAGGTCTTACGTGCTTCTTGGAGGAACTTTTCTCTCACGCTGTCAGAGGTACAGTTCTTACAGGTCTTAATGGCCACAGGCAGAGATGGTTTGTCCTAAAACAAACATTTGTTTTAACCATTGCTCTGCTTTAACACATTTAATGTATGTTTGGACAAGTGTACGCTTGCACTTACTGGACAGTTGTAGACTCCTTGGTGAACGTCCCCAAACTGACCCTCTCCAATGCAGCGCCCTAACTCTATCCTGTCCCTCTGGATCTCATAGTCCCGGGCTGGGAAGGAGGACAGGAATGAAGAAAAGCGGAAAAAGTTAGTAAAGCTAATTTATCTGCACATTCTTCCTACACTGTACAGTCCTGTAAAAACTCTTTCACTTTTGAAATGCTTCTTTTTGACCACATGGTTGTTGCTGATCAATAATATTTGGACCATGTCAAGCCTCTGGTTTTGTAACAGAGAACTTTATTGGGCTACCAGTCAAAGTAAGTGCTCATGAGTCCAAATTTGAAAACAACTTAAGTCTGGTTGTGCCTCCTTGTGATGTCATGTTTGGACTGAAGAACAGACCCAGAGAATCCAAGAGAGGGAGGACAGTGCTCAGTTTTGTAAGTGAAAACCACGTGTTTTTATATTTTAACTTAATTTGACATTAATCTTCTATTGACATTTCTGCTTTGTTGGAAAGGGCATGAAACATTTCTGCAGAGATGTATCAACGTCAGCTGACAACCAACTGCTCCAAAAATGGACTAAAAACAGGGTTCAAAAGGTTTGTACGGGAAGCTGACTGTCAGGTCCTTCTCCTTTGAAAGGAAAATGTATCGCTAAAACAAAGCACAGCCATTGTGACTTCAGTAATAAAAAAACACATATTCCCATATCTTAAAAGCATACAAGCCCGCTTTAAATGTGGCCAAAAAACATTCCGTTACAAAGATTTATTTAAGATTTAATTAATCCAGACTGCAAGGCACTTGCAAAATTTAAATTATTTCGAACATAAAAAACCACAGGGATCTGAAACAAGGCTGACTATAAATAAAGGCTTTGGGAAAGAAGCTGAAATAAAACTTTGACAACAGGATGGTGCAACAGGAGCCAAACCAATAAACAAACCAAGCCCAGTGTAGCTGTTCAATTTTGTGACGTTAGAATAGACTCGATGTTACCAAATTGTGATTAGGAAAATGCCGAGTCTTGCTTTGCTTCTGGGTTGGCTCTCCCTGTCAGCTCTAACACCTGAGTTCACCTGGACAACACGTGACCTCTACAAACATGGACGACCACAAGTAAACAGCAAACCCAATGGTGGGTACCTTGAGTCTTTGCAGATTTTCTTTGACCAGGGATTTTTTTACTTGTGAAAGAGAACCCCCTCAAACATGGAAATCAGTGACAGCTAAGCAGATATTTCCCACATTACTGGGCAATGGCAACAGAGAAAAACTTGTGCTTTTGCCCTTGCTGTGGTCAAAATATAAAAAGATGCAGGGAGACTCTGGAAAAGAAAAACAATACAAAAACTCAAGGCATTTTGGGACAGAATGAGAGGCAGGGAGTTTTACCTTCAACCACTCCATAGCTCACTGTGTTGGCGATGGGGAAAAAGAGGAAGAAAGACAGATGAAGAGAGGGGGGAGAGCCAGACAGCTTTAGGTTGAAAAAAGCTCAGAAAACATACACACTATATCACACATTTAGTTAATAAATCAACCAAAATGCTGTCAGGGATTGATTAAACATGGACATTAACTTTAAACCGATTTTTTGTTTTATAGCTCCATTTTATTCTTGTATGCAAGCACACAGTGGAAAATATGTCAAAAGACTGTGGACTCTGATTAGAGGAAGTTAAAGAAAGAAAGAGACAAAAAAAAGCTAAACCAAACAGAAAATAGCAGAAAAGCAAAGGAAAATGGAGAAAGACAGAAAAAGACTGGCAGGACTGGAGAACATAGTCCATTTTTAAAAGTTGGCCACAAAATGAAATACATAAGTGCTTTGTGCTGGCCAAAAACATCCAGTATTGGAGCACAGGACAAAAGCCACAGTTACTATTAGAGCCACAGCCAAGCGATGCAGCATAAAGAACATATGAATGAATCTGACAGATGTGTTTCCACACAACACATATGCTGCAGCCTGCTCTGCTGTTGATAGAAAATGAGGAAACGGTCCTGAATTTGGTACCTGCTGCATTTCCACCATAACGTTAAAGCCAGCTCTGCTTAATGATCGTTGAGACAGCAGGAGAAAACTGACATTTGTTTAGGAACGAAAGCATTTGACAGGCAAACAACTGTGAGAGGAGCTACTTTTCCAACATTCTTGTCTGGTTCAAGTGGAGCTGAGCAAATTTCACAAGTGCAGACTCTTTCAGGTCATCAGTGTCGGACAGAGAAGAAAAAAAGATGAAAAAGTGGCTTACTTGAGGGCATGGTGTACGTATCCTCTTCATCAACTATCTCCGCATAGTCATCTGTCTCTGCAATGTCAGATACAAACAGGAGTAAGAGAGCAAGAAAAAAACAAGTCATACAAACATAAAAAAATCAGGACTCACGCACTTGATTTAAATCCACAATCAAAAACACACCAAACGCAGAAAGAAGCAAGAAGCTAACAGAGTCTCAACAACTCCTATTCAAAGTAACACCCACATAGCTCCTCGCTGTCCCGCTCTCCCTCCTGCCCTCTTTCTCACACACAAACACTTGGCAGAGAGCGTCAGCTGAGCATGTGTTGTCAATATCTGTCTTAGTGAGAGCAGCGGGATTGGAGGGAGTTAAAGCAGTGGAGGAGGAGTGAAGGCAAAGCAAAGCAAAGGAGAAGAGAAGAAAAAAATGAGAAATAAACGGAAAACAAAAGACGAAACAGAGTAGAGAAAACAACTGAAAGAGGAGTACAAGTTAGAAAGAAATAGGAAAAAGAGAGAAGGGATGAATTCAGCCCACATGTGAGCAGATGGCAGCGATTAGGATCAAATCTGTGAAGAATCAGACAGATAGGCAGAGACGAGGGGAGGCAGAGAGCAGAGCCAGCAGGGGGAGAAAAAAAACAGAGAAAAGATGGGCCGAGTCTCTCCCAGCCAGATGGTGGCGTTTAAAATAAAGTCGGTGTGCAGACTCAGCTGTTGGAAACAAGAGTCAAACATCTGCTGTCCTGAACGCTCCCCTCACAGCTCTGCTCGAAATTTATCAGGCTCTGTGGGAACGGGCCCCTAAATTTATGAGAAATCTGTCCTGAAGCCTGTGACTGATTTTCTCCAGAAAAGTCTCAAAAGCCCAGTGAGTAATTACTGCAGAGTTGTTCCTCACTTAAAGGCGACAGGCGTGGGGGGGGGGGGGGGGGGGG